CTAAGAAGCTCTTACAAGTTGTAAGGAAGTCACAACGTAAGGAGGATCAGCCTCCTAACTTCTTGATGAATTAGTTTCTCAAGACTAACCTTTTGGATGCCAAATACATCAAATGCACGGCAGTCAGGAAAATGTTGGTGTTCAAGGGGATAAGGTAAATGGCTAAGTAATCACTAAAATGACATGTATACATGCTTAACAATATGTTAAGTCTGAAAGATAAAGGTTAAATTTAAATATAAAATTTAAAGGAGCAATGCTACACATTGGCAAGTGTTTAAAGTTGCCACACTGACCTCTTACCTTAATTAATTCCAGGTTTTTCCTTCTCAGCATATTCATTTTAGGGTATTTCTATAGAAACAGGAATGGGCCCCAATAAAAGCTCCATGTCTCCACTGCTGCCCACTGGATTCAATGAAAACTACCACTCACTTCCTAGGACATCAAGATAGTAACTCTAACATGACGACGTGATACTGCAGGCATCACAAAACTGCCTTCCGATGGGAGGAGACCATGAAGGTGTAGCAAGCACTGTGAGAAAATTCTTGTGGCTTAACAATGGAAAGAAGTTGATTCTACTCCAACTCTGTCGTCTGTAAACTGTATCAGCAAATCTGGTTACACAAAAGCACAAGAATGATACTTGAATTATCAAGAGTATTCTACCTCCATTTTATAAGACTAGCATTTTGATTAAATGTGCTTCATTGTAATGAATTTCATAGAGAAAGAAAGTAAAAATGTCAACTGGATACTTCATCATGAATTTAGCAACATATCCCCTTATAAAAATAAAAATCTCCCCAAGTCTTTTTATATGGTAGATTAGATAAATTTGCTGCTTCCTGGTTTCGTAATTGTCATTCACCTGAAAAAGGTTCTCACCATAACAATGCTGCCTTCTTCTTGCCACTTTATGTTACTGACATTATACTATCTTTTGGATTCTTCAGGAAGATGAAATAAGTCATTTCTTTAGCAGGGGGAATTTTCATTTTCCATGTTAATATTACATCATAATCAAATAGTTTCATAAAGTTTTGATCCTAAGGCTGGAGGAACAAAAACACCTTTAAAAATGCCTCTCCAGAGACACAGCCAGGGAAAACTTGCCTTCCTATTATTAGAAGTACTCTGTGTTTCCCTTCTCTCCACAAAGTGTCAATCAAGACTAATGACTTCAGTCTTACAGAATTAATAAAGCAGAATTGAGTTGTATGTTATTAGTAAACTCAAATTTACATAATTTCCAAGTTCCCTAGCCTAGTCACTTTGGCCTACTATAACAAAGTCCTATATTTATTTTTCACAGTTCTGGAGGTTGGAAGTCTAAGATCGGCATGTCAGTACAGTCGAGGTCTAGTGAGGATCTTTCAGGTTTGCAGACTACCATTTTTGCCTTGTGTCCTCACATGATGGAAAGCAAGCCTTTTCCAGGGTCCCAGGTGTAAGGGCACTAATCCCATTCATGAGGGCTCCACCTTCATGGCCTAATCACCTTCTACAGGCTCTACCTCCAAATATCACATTGGAATTAGGACTTCAACATATGACACTAAGACAGACATAAACATTTAGTCCACTGCAATGCCCTTTGAAGAAATCTTAAAGTCACCTGCAATGGCTAATATTAGAGGCTTTCTGTCTAACATTAGGAAACACTCCCAAGCTCTTGGTCTCAGAGTTATTTTTTACCGCCATCTAAACTGCAGTGTGCTCAACTGCAAAATGTAGTGATCAACATTTCAGAAGAGCTGAATTCCAGTGCCCTACAGAACAGACACAGAGTGACACAACTGAAAGCATTGGCCTTGGACTTAAGAGACCACATAGAACACAAAAGTTACATAAAAGAAAAGGGTAGCTCGGTGTAGACAGAACATGTAAGTTACATAAAAGAAAAGGGTAGCTCGGTGTAGTAGTAATGCCTGTAATTCCAGCACTCAGGAGCCTGAGGCAGGAAGATCACTATAAGTTCAAGGCTAGCCTGGGCTACAGACTAGAGAATGAGACCCTGTCTCAATGCCCCCCTGAAAAAAGAAAGAAAAAATAGAAAGAGGTAGGCTTAGTCTCTGTGGGCTCTGAACCCTAAGGCATTACCAAGGTACTACAAGAGGCCTAGCATGGTCCACAGCTGAATAAATACCATATCTAGCACAGAACATTTTCTAAACACACACAAATGCTGTCTAATAAAGATCTGATAAATGTCAAGTTTTAATGATATGAAGCTGTTTCTTGTCATTGAGGATTTTCTCATTCAAAAGATACTAAGAGTTTTTTCACGTTTAATGAAAGGTCTTATTTATTCAAGAGTTGAGAATCATTGGCCTAGAACTCCAGGTGACCTCCAAAGGTCCCTTATAGGGATTAATGCACAACCTATGACTATTCTTTCTGAGACAGCAGCTCAGTCACCATTAATGTAAGTGAAGAAAAACAGGTACACCCACACAATTTCAGACATTGTCATCTATTTTTTTAAATAATTTTTAAAGGGGCTGGGGATTTAGCTCAGCGGCAAAAGCACCTGCCTGGCAAGCACAACGTCGTGAGTTCGGTTCCCAGAACCGGAGAAAAACCAAAAAAAAAAAAATTTTTAAAATTATGAAACAGAAACAAACAAAAAAAGGCATTTACATTTCAACCAATCATCAACAAACATTTCTATTATAGCCCAGGCAACCCAAACGTCTTTCTGTGGCTTGAAAACCCTTGGAAAGACAGGGACAATATAGTGTACACAGTCATTGTTATTCAGATGTAAAGCCCATCTATACATGAATAATGATGATAGCAATACTAACTGCCTTTCAAAACCCATTTAATACCTTCTACAACTTTTATGGTACATCAAATTACAAGATTATTCTCATGAAAGAAAATTGTCTACATTCTAACATAGCTACATATAAAATGAATAATTGATAAGTGAGGGCAAAGAGCTTTGAAAACCTAGAAGTATCATATGGATGATAAAAAATAACACAGACAACTAGTGCTCAGAAACCCCACAGCTATTCAATAAAAAACCATCAGTGAAGTTGGACAAATGCTTCTGTGGTTTTGTTGTTATTGTTGTTTTAATTCCTTCTGGAAAGTAGCTCTGAAAGGTACTCTCCCCAACTTGGACAAAAGGCAATGTCTCACAAGAAATCCAGTTCCTGGAGAAGATACAGAGCACGGGAACGGGAGAGAGTTGCAAATGTGGTGCAAAGACCTTGGCTTCTAGGTCACTGCCACAATTCTGCCTGGGGCTCACTGTGATTGATGAAGGCACAGGTCCTCGGGGAGAGTTGCTCAGTGACCACTGAGAATCCACCTACAGTGGTCCATCCACTGAGATCTTTTGCAATCAGCCTGTAAAAACAGACTGACACCTCTTAAGAATTCATCCAATCAGCGCTCAGCACAAGGACCAATATTTCACTGTCTAGACTCAGTGAATCGTCCATTTCAATGTGGATCTTTAACATATCGACCCTCTTGCTTTCACTGTTTTTTATAGGGAATACTGAGCTATATTGTGAAAAATTATTTTTGCGTAAGTTTCAAAACAACTAATCATTCCTTTCTTTCTTGCTAACAAAAAATTACACAGTCAAAATCAGGATGACCACGTTTCTGAAATACACTAGTACATTTTTCACATCAGTCACTACTACCAGCTATAAAGTTGGTGCTGAGAAGACAGTTTTACATTTGCTGAATTTTGATCCTACTCTTCCTTCTCCTATCAGGGTGAAGTTAAACTGACTCTCCAACTATTAAATCCCCAATCTATCTCCAATCTCCAAAGTATCTTTTGTACTGTGAGCACCCTCAGCGCTCAGTAACTGGCCCTAGTCTCATTCCTCAATTCTCCACTTTTAAGCTCTTTCTCCTTTTTTCTCTCAAATATGAAGGATTTGCCCATAAGCAGTTTAAAAATAAACTTATGGGGCTTATTTAACATGATTAAGGCTCAAGAACATTAGTAAAAATGCATAAATTAGACTAAATGTAGACTTGGAATTCTTCATGAGAAAAACCCAGAGGAAAAGTCTACCAGGGAACAGTCAACAAAGAAGAAAGGTCTTACATCATGCCTTGAACTTGGTTTCCTGAAGGCACAATCTTTCGCATTTGAATGGCCCTCATCTACTTTACTGCCAACAGAGCCAGTCTGTTCATCCTCAGACATAAACACAGGGCCCAACATCACGAAAAATTACCTACTAACATATGCAATCCAATTTGTCCCTTTTATAGCATTAATCACATATTCTTTAGGGAATAAAAGGAAAATATTTATCTCTCCTGGATAATCTCTGAAGGCACTCTCCCTTGGGCTAGGGCACAAATTCTAAAAACTATTCTTTCTTACTTTCAAGGTGAAAATCCAGAGAGCTAAGCCAGAGAGGTCTTCCTTCCCATACTTCTGGCTTTTGGTCTGACCAGAGACTACGATGGGATTGCAGAGGCCCCTGCAAGTAGCTTAACAGCAGAAACTACTACATCACCTCTCTCCTGATGGATGCTCGAAGTTTGACTGCCTCTTCCCAGACATGAGCTTGAACCAGAGATCGCATCAGGCAAGAGGCTGAATGAATCTCGCTTCTCATCAGAGCAAAGCCCTGGCAGCACTTAAGTGAGCCGACCCTGCTTCCCAGAAGTAAAGAACCTACCTAAAGACTTACCACACACCACCCTCAGCTCTCTCTGCAGAGGGCTGCAGCCTGTATCTATGCTCTTGTGTTGCACAGATCAGCAGGCTGCCAGTGAAGCACTCCAGGCCCACCGCAGGCATCAGAGCCCAGATGTCAGGGCCCAGCTGTGTGACCACCACCACACTCCCACCAGCCAGTCCTTTGGAACTTAGAGATAGCAGAAGGAGGTAGTTCAATAGGACCTTTGATGACTGAAAAGAAAGACAATACCTTCTGACTTGCTTTTTAAACGAAGCACCCCCTTGGCTATGGAACTAAGCAGGAAGGAACAGAAATGCATCTTACCATAGGGGTATTTGGTATCCAGCTTTTTCTCAGCTGTTCTCCTCCAAGGCAACAGGTCATCACTGCACCCGTTAGGCATTCCATTGTACCCAATGCCAACAATCTTGTTTTCTGCATTCACAATACAGGCTCCGACCTACAAGGAAACGGCCCGAAGGCTTGGTGATGACTACAAATGGCTGGTCTACCACTAGGCAGCACTAAGGGAATGGAAGCCTCTTACAGGAACAGGTAAATGCACAGGAATACAGCACATAAGGCAGCAAATACACCTTGCGTTTTTAAGGGGACAGCTGTTCCCTTTCCATAATTTCCTCAATTTGCAGGTCTCTCTTTCCAAGTATCCATCCTGCTATGCAACCCATTTACCTGGGAATTTGGATCTTTGCTTCTCTGTGCTGATAAGAAGGCCACTGCCATGAAATACTCAGGCCATTCCAAATAGTCATCCCGTTTTTTGCAGGAAACTTCACTCATGTTGGATCTAGAAGAGAAACATGACAAACGTTGAGAAAAGCAGTTTGGTAAATCTGCTTTCCTGTTCAATCTACCACACTGAACTCTGGTCTCTAAACAGTCAACTTCAGCTACACTTATCTATCAGCAATCACAAAACTGGGAGCTAGACAGTCTCTGTTCTTAAGAAAAACTTTAAAGATGTTTATTATCTCAGAAGTTTGGATTTGGCACCTATAGCATCACATTCTCAACTATTTCATCTATTTACTGCTACTAAGATATCTGACTTACAACATAGGCGCCTTCAAATTTTTCTTTCCTTCATCCCTTGTAAATAGGAGTCTGCACAGGAGAAAAGGAGAACAGAAAAAACTTATTGATCATTTAAAAGATTCTGGACACTGTTTAAGTTTTTACACGTTATCTCCCTCAAGCCTCATCCCAACAGAGGCAGTAGCATGCCACCTTCCACTCACAGAACTTAGGGAATGGAATTTGCCCTAAGTCACAGGGAAGTGTTACCCATGCCTGCTGGACTCCAAAGATAACATATGAAGTTGTCCCAGTTGTGACAGTAATCAGCTAATTTGTTCCTTCTCTCCCCCTTAGATTCCCCGATAGGTCAGAAGTGTCAACACTGAGGACAGACTCCAAGGAGAAACAATGACAAGCGCTGGTACTGAAGCCAGGTATCTGGTAAGTTGGGTTTTGCTCGGAGCAGGTGCAGGCAGTCTCTACAACAGGGAAAGCCCTGAAGGGGCCGGTTAGTCCAGATAGAGGATCCTTTCAAAAGAAATGAAACCAGGCTAAGGAAGGAAGGAGGGCAACACAAAATCAATTTCTCAGATCACTGAGAAAGCCTGGATGTCTGGTTTAAAGGTGAGAATTCCCGAACTTCCACTTCAGGGTTTAGACTTCAGCCTCAGGCTACAGTGCAGTTTCTAGGTGCCCAAGACTAGAATGCAGAGAACAGGTTGGCACCAGCAACCGTGGTTACCCACTCATTCCGTCGCCCAAATTTTGAGAAGTTGTGGTTAAGACCAAGTGGGAGATGCTGGTCGGGACTGGCTTCTCCCCCGTGAAAGGCTCGCACGCACAAGGCTGTAGGGCGCTGGGTAAGTACCACCGCCCAGCAGGAGGGTGGAGAGGAGGGGCGAGGGGCGCAGAGGCCAGGTGGGCAAAGACTTCTCCAACAGGCGCTCTCCCGGCGTGGTGAGGACTCGGGCGGGAACCGACGCGCAAATTAGTTCGGGACCTGACAGCGCGGGGCGGGAGCCACGCCCCTCCTCCCCACGCGCGCCAGACGGCCGGCGTCTTCAGACCTCCAGAAACGCGCCGCCCAAGAGAGCGCCTGGCAGAGGCCGCGGCGCGCCCCGAGATTCACCCGGCGCGGCCAGGAACCGCGTCCTCGCCGCCGCCCCGTCTGCGCTGCGGCGGGTTAACGCGGAGGCGGGACCG